TGATGCGTCTAGACTTACTTCTGACGATCATTGAGCGTCGTTGACTCCTGATCACGCCCGATATCCTTTAACTACTTGCTAAATCTTCGAAGAAATGGACATAACACTTGTGCTAAATAACTGGAAGGCGTGCCGCACTATGCTAACCACCACGATCCAATGTTATCTCGCCGCGTGCGCCGACCTGAATGCCGCCTGCTCTCAAATCCTACGTCAGCCACGCGCCAGGCGCGAGGTTGAATCAGTACTGGTGTATCTCGACGCGGAGTTGGCAGGCCTGTTTTTAGAAGAAGAATCACTACACGACGCCAGAGTCTCGTTGACAGTAACCCGAAACTTATCAACGGCTCTAGCTCCGCTTCACACGCTTCCTCCAGAGATCTTGGCATCAATATTTCAAATAGCTCAACGTAGTTCTAGCACGTATGACGTGAAGAGCCCACCAATTGTTCATTCGCTCGCCGGGGTCAGCTCTTACTGGAGGCGAGTCGCCGTCAACACCGCATCGTTGTGGACAGGTATCGATATTACTACTCAAACTAGCTGTGACTATGCCGCACTCTCGCTGCTTCGCTCGAACAACCTTCCCGTTTCCTTGTACTTGTTTGAACCAAATCCTAAAGGGGCGACCGGGCAACGGTCTGGTGAGCGACTGGGCCTATCATCTGATTTTCTCGCAAAAGCGAGCCCAAAGATCCGCGCACTAGACATAAAATCCTGGGCGCACTCTACAGACGTCATCAATGCTATCCTAAAGACCTGGCTACGCTACGGCTCTAGGACAACCCCAAAGACGCTCCGGATAAAGAGACCCAGAGCGAACATGTTCCCAGAACGACTTGCACTCGATTGGCAGTTTGATCTAGCGTCAGCCGACAATTCAGACGCCGTCCTGCGTTCCATAACTGTGCTTCACCTGCAGGAAATGGTTATTCCGTGGTCCAGTACAACATACCATGGACTTGTTGACCTTCGACTCGAGTTCACCGCGGAGAGCGAGGCCTGGGTCTCAGTCGCACAACTTGCTGATATTCTGGCAGCAAGCCCTACTCTAGAGATCCTAAAGATTAGTGGGCTAGGAGTAGTGCGCTCGGGCGACTGGAACACGGCCATTTCCATTCCACTCGTCCACTTGAAGGTACTCTATCTCAGCGACATGTATGATGCGACCTTGGAGCTCCTGCTGTCTCTCTTTTCTCTCTCGGACTGCCTAGGAAGTTTGAGTATAGGTTTTCAAACGCACAGACAAGTCAACCTTGCACACCTGATCGATGATTTCCTCCGCAACAGCCCTACTGAGACCTTGGCATTCTCCGAGGCTAGTGCGTTGGGAACTAGCCCTTTACGGGCCCTGTCAATTTCAAGAACAATCCCGTCGTTGAGGAACTTGGTCTTATCCCAATTTAACCCTCTCGACATAGAGGAACTCGAGACAATGGCTGCCGAGCTGGGGACGAGTTCATCCCACCAAATGACTTCGAGTTTGCATTCCTTAACTCACCTCTACCTGGTGTCGTCGGAGGTCAACTTGGATGACTTGAAAATCATTGTGCCAATGTACAGTGTCCGGACGCTCCATCTTGAAAGTTGCACCGCTTTTGAAACAACAATAGGCGACCTGAAAAATAGCTTACTAGAAGTGTTCCATGACCTTGTATGTGTCATCTCGGACGTAGATACCACATCCAAATGGCCTTGTCGGACAATGTTCGATCAGTAAGTTGACATATGGCGTATAGCTCTGCTCAATCTACTCACATTTTGCTCAGGCTTTCATAGAATTGTTCACGTTTGACACATGCTTTCCCTCTGATATATGCCCTAATGTTCCGTCTCTGGACTCGGTTTTCTTGTCAGTTGCGTGACCGCAGTTATCCATACCTTGTGCTGGTGTTTATCGAATGAATGTACAATTCGCGTGTAAGGCAGTTTACCACAAGAGCCAAGTGTGCAGCGCGGGCGTGGCTGTGCCAAGAGATAAGCCAACGCACGGGCCACCAACCAGCGCTGATATAACCTGTCCGGAAGCAAAAACTTTCTTCACAGTCCCTCGGTCCCCACAGTCATACGACCTTGTACTCCCGAAATGTCTGGCTTGGGGGTCTGGCGGGTTCGAGGAGAGTAACCCACGAGGCTCATCGCTGGGCATGTCGTTGTCCCTCTGTTGCTCTATTGGATTGGCGACTAATCAGCGTTGGGTGCATTTTAACGTTTTAATTTGGCGTATTTTCTTCACTTGGTCAAGGAGTAGCTTGTGAATGTAAACGATTTTGGTATACTTGCCTCTGTGAAGTGTGTGATTGAGGGTTATTACTGGGTCACTCGTTCTCAGCATCACGGCCAGCTCATGTTCCTCGAGTCCCGACCGCTCCCTCAGCAGAACTTCTCACGCTCGCGTAAAATTTAGCTGTCAAAAATATCGTTACATCAAATTATACATAAATCCAGAATATTTATTGCTCGTTGACGAATACGGCAGCCATACCCATGCCCGAGCCGATACACATGCTAGTGACAATAATGCGCTCCTTGGTACGCTTGGCGTGCGCAAAGGCGGTAGCGACTTGGCGCGCGCCGGCTAAACAAGAGACACGTCAGGTCAAGTACAACATTAGGCGAAGCCGGGGGACGTACTGCATCCAAGAGGGTGTCCGATCGCGATAGCTCCGCCACTACGTGCAACCGTTAGTCAGGGCAAAAACGGGGTGTGAGATATACGCACTTGGGGTTGACTTTTTCGATGGGAATACCGAGGTGTTGGATGGACATGACAGCTTGGGACGCAAACGCCTCGTTGATTTCGAAAAAGTCCACCTCGGAAAGCTCAAGGCCAGCCTTGGAGAGGGCCTTGGGGATCGCAAACGCCGGGCCGACACCCATGATCTTGGGTGGGACTGTTCCGAGCGATTAGTGATGAGCAATAGGAAAACAAGCGAGACGTACCTCCAACAACAGCCGAGGTGACAAACTTGCCCAAGATCGGCAGACCAAGCTTCTGTGCGACGCTTCGTCGGGCTAGCAGGACGGCAGCAGCACCATCCGAGACCTGGCTCGCGTTGCCGGCATGAGTCGAACCAGTCTTGGAGAACGCAGGCTTGAGCTTGGACAAGCTCTCCTTGGTCACGCCCTCGCGCACGCCATCGTCTCGATCGACAACAACCTCCTTTTCCTCCCCGGTCTTGGGGTCGATCAATTTGGTCTTGACGGGGACAATCTCGGCCTTGAAGTTGCCCGCCTTTTGGGCTGCGGCGGCCTTGGCAAACGAGTGCGCTGCGAACGCGTCTTGGGTCTCGCGGCTGATCTTGTATTGAGCTGCGACGTTCTCAGACGTGATGCCCATGGGGATGAGGCAGTCGGCGGATTCTTGGTTGGCCATGACGGCGTCGGAAAAGGCGGCGGGCATGACGCCTGCGCCGAACCCGTGCGTCATGCTCTCCACGCCAGCACCTGGAGAGTTGTGATCAGCAAAGGCGTAATCGTGGCGCATGAGACGCACCAATGCCAATGTCGATTTGCCCAGTGCTGATCTCGTTGGCGATTTGGCTGACGGCGGTCAAGCCGGAGCTGCATTGCCTGTTGACCGTGTATACAGCACTCGAATTGGGAATTCCAGCGTGGAGAGCGGCCATTCGCGCGGCGGTCGCTCCTCCACCGGGAGGCAGAACGTTGCCAACAGCCACGTCTTCGATCAACTTTGGGTCAAGCTTGGCAGAAGTGTAGACCGCCTTGAGGACGTGGCTCAACATCTCCTCCGGGAGCGTATCTTTGAATCCACCTTTTTTGGCCTGTAAAGGTCATTAGCCGTGACGAGACGACGGGGAAAGTCGACACACACCTTGGTGATGGCCGTTCGCAGGGCAGAGACGACAACGACGTCGTTGGGAGACTGGGAAAGGAGCTGGGACCTGGCCATAGTGGTGGGGGTAGATGTTTAGGGAGGGGTGGACGGTTAATGTGGAGATGCGGGGCGTAAAGGACAGCCTATAAATGTCGGTTGCTCAGCACACCGGCAACGCGAGCCCGAATTGAACCCATTTGCCGTCATAGCCGGTTTCACGGATTCGGGCTCGCACGTGAAAACCGAAAAATATCTTGTGATATACAGTCATCCATCACGTGGCCATTATACCGAAAAAACCCATCCATCACGTGACGAGATACTGTCACGTAACGAAGCAGTCAAACAGTTGCCCACAAGTTGCGCTGTTCTCCCTCAGTCTGCCGACTGTATGCGGTACATATACTGTTTGTCCAGCTCAGGAAGATGGGTGTGGCGACATATTTAAGCCTTCAGCGACGATTTGAACTATTTGTAGCCATACCTGGCTGCGGCGTCTTTCAATGCTAAATCAGGTATTGCTTCGGAATTTTACAACTGTATACCCCCTAAGACATGCCCATAGTGGTGATTCATGAGCCGAGTGCATTAGATACACTTGCTTTGTATTTGTATACTGAGATTCTTTCCGCATTCTATTGATATTGGTATAATTAAGTGGTGCTGGATTTTACATCGCACACCAACAAAAATCGGACTTGACAAATGTGCACGTTACGACCTAACCTCAAACATAAAGCTTACCAAGCAGCATAAACTATAAAGACCCCCGTGCTGGTGCATAAGAATCGGAGTGTGAGGCATGAGAGAGCCATAAGGTCACGCCTGATCCATAAAAACTTAAATCGTTACCAAATGGTTAAAGATTTTGCCATATCCATCTTCCTCAGCTGGACAAACAGTCTATCACTGCATACAGTTGGCATATTGAGGGAGAACAGCGCAACTTGTGGGCAACTGGTTGACTGTCTCGTCACGTGAGAGTGTCTCATCACGTGGTGGATAACTGTGAGGAATCGTTACGGAATGAGGGTAAGGAGGAAGACGTGGATTGATCTTCGGTGGCGCAATTGGTGGCGCGTTTGACTGTTAATCAGAAGGTTGCTGTGATGCATCACGATTGACAGTGGGCTATGGGGGCGAGGAGAAAACGGTTAAGCAATCTCCTATGGCGCAATTGGTGGCGCGTCTGACTGTTAGGCATGCTTAACCATGCGCACCCGAACATTCATCAGAAGGTTGTTAGTTCGATCCTAACTGGGAGAGTCTCTTTTTATGCTGCTTCTTTGAATTTTACCCCAAGTTCTAATAGGTGGAGATCCCCGTTGTGCATATATTCTACCCTCCCACCCAATTTACGCATCCATCAAGGTGGACACGACTGAAGTTATAGCTGCATGAGCAAGTATATAGATCCATTTTATCCAACTCGGGGTACTTACATAACTGCGTATAAAAATCTTAGCGGGGACTGCGAAAACTGCGCTACGCGTTCTACTCGCTAACGAAGCCAATTAAGAGTATCGTCTATACTCCATCGTTATCACCTTCCGTACCATCATAACTCTCCATATGACGGGACATTTCCATATATTCAGAACCTCCTGCAATGAATATAGCACCATGGCCATGTAGAATAATCATGTATATACAAGAATAACGTAGAATATACGAGAATGTAACCGAGTCAAGCATGTATGCGCAGTATATGCGCAGTAGTGAATGTGCATGACTCGACAAAGATTGTAAGGTATATATAGGGGTCTTTCGAGCCCCTCCTACCGTATCTTCTCTTTTATTTTATCTTTTTACTGTCTTTACTTTCATAGCGTTTAATTATACACATAAATACATATTTGTTTTCTATAGGCCAAATGCCAACTCGAGGAGCGTTGCCTTCGGCAACATCCAATCTTGCTCAGGTGTAGGCCACACGAGTGTTCCTATTGAAAATGTACATTTATCATCAAACTATTGCCACAATTTACAACAATGGATAACAGGACAACGCGCGAAATTAGCTGTATCCCCGTGAGCGGTAAAGATCTTGGCGACACGGCAAAGCAAACCTGGCGAGCATGTGGTGCAGCACTGAACCCTTGGTGGGCGCTTAATCCTTGCACAGCTATCTGAGCATATTAAATCGCAAAATGGGGATCTGGTTTTCAGCAGGGTGAACGTCGTCATGTGCGACGATTCCCACCAGTTCCCCCCTGTCGCAGGGGGCTTGACCAGCGCCCTCTATCGCTCCAAGAATATCACAAACGACTCAACGGGGGCGCTGATTGGGCGTACAATGTACGGTTGAAGGTCTGACAAGGTTGCCGTTCTAAAACGTCAGTCCTGGTTTTTTGACCCCGTCTGGTGTAGTTTCTTGACCAGCCTCCAGCACGATCAAGTAGAAGCGATGCATATAGCCTTATTAAGAGGCTTGGTTTTGACCAACCCCGAGTACCTGAGTGAATATGGGGAATCAGCATCCCTAGTCACACCGCGTTATGTTATTCGCACTCGATGGCACGGCGCCGCCGTGACTCGCCGCTCTGGCTAAACCGGCATCCAGCTCTCCATCTGCCTGGCAAATAATATGATACAAAAGAAACCCTTGCCGATGCTTGAAAAATACTGGTTGCAAGTTCTCGTTCGAATGGGACAATAATCACCTGCCTGAGTAGGTCATACTAACGGTGGGGGTGGAGGTTTCGGCGGCTCTCAACGTGGAAACCGAGTTCAACATTATGAATAGAGCGTGCTGTACGATTCCTGCCATCGTCCTCGATTCAAGTAAGTTGGCATCCAAGCCAACTGCCCGGGTGGGTTACCTGAGCTGCCCACCACTCTCTATCATCACGAAGATGTCGCACCACACAAGTCATTACACTCCACGGACTTAAACCTAGCACGCTTCCTCTAATTATCATCTTAAAAGGCTTTTAGATTATCTTGGGCAAGTAGCGTTCGATGGTTAGGTTACGAGAAGGCAGCCTAATGTTTGTAGCTGCTAATTACGCTAGCCTACGCATTTACCGACTACTGACCCTAGGGCCAAGGGAAATTGGTAGCGATAGTCGACATCCACCTACCCACCCAACAGGGGCAAATTGACATATGTGGCTCTCTCCCGAAGTTATGGGCAGAAGGACCGCCCATATCCAACGAGAAGTTGTTGATAGGCCTTGGGCTATGACCTACTGTAAGAGGATCATCAGCTCGATCAGCTGGGTGCAGGCGCTGTGGTTTGGTGGGAAATCATGAGGGAAGGTGGTGGGCTTGTGCCGTATGTGTTGTGTTTAGGGTATTCCACTAGATTCTGTTATATGACTGCGCATATATTCTATATTTTAGATGAATTTAGTACACTGCCTGTTGTAATTTCCACTGAACCGTTGGGCCAAATAAGCTTGGGCCGAATGTGTTGGATAGTGTCCATTTGTGAATATGTACTATTTGAAAAAGAAAACGAAAAAACGAGAAAGAATCGTCGATTCGATTTGCGACCAAAGGATTTAACGTTCCAGGAGGGTGTAGCCAGAAAGTAGCCCGAGGATTGTGCGAAAGTACATTTCGCTCATTTCTCCAAAGTCAGATAGAGTAACGTAGGCCACGTGCGGTTGCAGGATGACAGCGAGTTCCTCTGCCGCATTTTCGCCCCATTGTTCCCGCACGACCAGCCAAAGTGGGGTGCCACGGGCACGCTCCAACCACAGTCGTGTCCGCTCCAGCAGACTGATTTTGCTGCCATTTACTATATATTTTCTGCGGATGTCGGCGTATGACCGCAGAGAACGAGTGCTTATGGAAATATGACGCCAGTGAGTGCAGACAGAGGGGAAGACAGCTAGCGGGTGTAGTATGAGGCTTTTGGAAGTTCTTTGCTTGGGACATTATATAAAGTATGAGACAGCGAGCGCGAAAACTTGGGATAGGATCTCGGAAGGGATGTCGTTAATGTGCACAAGCTTCGGCGGTTTGTTTCCTGCTTGACGGATCGCCGGCTTGGCCGTCTTTCCTTCGACCTCGCCACGAGCAGCCTGTTTGATCGTATTTTGAGAGAATTGTTCAGCCTGCCGGGCAGAGAAACCGCATACAGATACTAGGTCCAGGTAAAATGCAGGGAGGGTCGCAAACGCCAGAAAGTGACGAAAGCAGCGGCGTTACCGGGTCTGGTTTCCGCGGAGACCGCCCAAAAACATCACGTGGCCTCCGTGGCAGTGCTAAATTTGGGGACCGCAATGTTTACCATGACCGCCACCCAATCATGTCTCTCGGCCTCGGTTACCAAACCTAGCAATCAGACACTCGACGTCCAATGAACGTTGTTGAGATCTCTATAAGAGCCCTCTCAGCGGGTCTGGTCTTCAGTCTTACTGTCCACCACCCCACCGACCGAACCGTATCATGTCTGTTGTTATGTTTACCCCTCAGACCGCCATCAAACTCCCCCAAATGTCGTGCGCACTACTCGCAACTGTGGATGGGGAGGACTCGTTAATGGTTAGTGAATCCATGGTTTGGAGTTCTTCAGTGTTGACCTTATCTCGCAGACAAATGCGACCGGTGTCCACTTTGAAATCATGAATGAGGATATTCAGATTGGATGCGCACTGCTTGTGTGTATATTTCTTGCATCCTCTCGCCTTGAGCCCCCGTTAAATGCCCACCCACCTTGCGCAGCGGATGGTAGCCGCTGGCGTGGACATCCAACATATGCTCAGTCTTGCGCAGCTCTCTCCATTCGACGTCATCGAGCCTGACAACGATGCCAACAACAATACTAGCCCATGTCCCTACATCGTCATTTCCTATGCGCCAGACACTGAGGAATCTATATTCGCCTTCCAACACAACGCTCGGCCGATTCAACACACGCAAGACGGGTCGGCGCTGATGGTTCCCGGGTTTAGCGCCATACGAAAGCAGCCAGAGTCGGATAACGAGCCGACTATGACCGTGATGCCAGACGAGGCGACCGGGGCAGACGACTTTGAAATCACGTTCTGGTGGGCCCCAGCCGACGACTCTATGGACACCTACTCGTCTTCGCACGATTCGGACGCTACTCTTGAAACTCTTGGATCGTCGCACGACCTGGATCACATTCATGTTGGAACGTCGTACACGGGTGGAACAGCAGGCCTGCTCGATGCCGTTGCCGAGTCGCGCTTGTGCTCGACAGTGGATCCGTGGCACAGGCAAAGCTTTCTGACTCCATACCCCAGTGGGGTGAGCGTTGAGGACTGGAGCGACGAGTACGAATGGACGAACCAAGACGAGGACGAGGTGTTTGGAATGGATGACGAGCAAGAAGGATGCTGCGCTAGCGATGCAATGGAGACTTGTGAAGGCGAATGAGGCGAGATGGATGCGGAGCTAGAAGGGGACGATTAGAGCGACGAGAGCGAGGGCATGAGCGGCTACGAATTGGATAGTGCCTAAAGCACTTGATGGACTATCTAACATAGATTATAGAATGTGTGCAGCTAGATCTACAAACAAATGAATCTGATATAAATGAATTTGTTGGAAGCGCTGAAGCGACGCTAACGTGGGACCACAGTGAGCGAGTGTTAATGGCAATGCAGCGCCATCGAGTGCACACGGCAGGAATGGCGACCAGCGGGTATCGCCTGTGATTGCTGGGCGCTAGGATGGAAGCATGGGGTCGTACTGTAAACATGAAGATGCGGGACATGACCTCTGAAGGGAGAACGTTGATGGGCACGAAGGTTGTAGACGTGTTTATTACTTTACGGAGAATAGCCCTAGACTCAGTCATCTTGGTTGCAATAGTGGCAAACAAGTCCGTTTGAGCATTTATTTTCAGCACATACGCTTCGATTGACCTGAGATCCTGTTGGTTGACGAACTGATGGAGTGTGGCGCAAGCACATACGAAAGAGTCTACGGCAAGCTCGAGCTGATCGCGCGGGACGTGCCAGCTACCGAAGACATCCGTGGCGGATCCCAACATCAGTGGTAGGTATGAGGATGTGTGGATGAGATCATACCTCGTGGCTAGACTGCTCTGATAAGCGCCCACCCCAAACAATCAGAGCACGCCAGAAATGCAACTGCAACGACCACATGAGTGACCTCACCTCGTTTCCCAGACTTGTCTCGTCCGCCTTTCCCGCCCGACAACCTGCTCCTCTGCTTCACCTCTTAGATCTATTTCCGACAACTATAGTGACTCGCTCAACCCCCCTCGTGGTCAACACGTGGCCTATATAACAGCACCTATTGGGCTCTTTTCTCCGCTACCACGT